AGAAGTCAGGAAGATAGAAAACCAAATCCCATATTATCCACATACCAATTCTGTGATGGAGGTAATTATAGGATAAGGGAGAAAACCTGTAAAATACCATCACCAGTGAACTGTTATAAGTTATGTATGTATAATGTAAAACCTAGAACAGGGATTAAAAAGCTATACAAAGAGATACACTCAAAAATACTATAGATAGATAAAAACGGAGTTCTACAAAATGTGCAAGGAAGCCAGGAAAAAGAAAATAAAGAAAAAAAAAGAGAATAGAAAACAAAAAATAAAATGGCAGACTTAAGCACTAATGTAGCAATAATTACATTAAATGCAAATGGTGTAAATACATCAAGTAAAAGCTAGATATTGGCAAAGTGTATAAAAAATATGACAATTCCACATTGTCTATAAGAAACTCATTTCAAATATAAAGATATAGGCAGGTCGAAAGTATAAGAATGAAATAAGTTATATTATGCAAACATTCCTCAAAAGAATGCAGCAGTGGCTATATTGATCAAGTAGACTTCAAAACAACTTTATCAGAGATAGAGTGGAACATTACAATGATAAAAGGGTCAATCAACCAAGAAGACAAAGAAATCCTAAATGTTATATACCAAATAACAGAGCTGCAAAGTATGTGAAGCGAAAACTGATAGAACAGAAAGGAGAAATAGACAAATCGACAATTATATCGGACACTTCAACACTCCTCTAACCAATAATTGATAGAGCAACTAGACAGAAAATCAGCAAGGCTATAGAATAACTCAACAACATCATCAATCAACGGGACTTAATTGATATTTATGGAACACACCACCCAACATCAGCACAGTACACATTGTTTCAAGTGCCCAGAAAACAGATACCAATATAGACCACGTCTTGGGCCATAAAAAAAAAAACCTCAATAAATTTACAAGAACTGAAATCAGACAGACTGTGTTCTTTGACCACAATGGGACCGAACTAGAAATCAATAAAAGATTACAGGAAATCTCCAAATACTTGGAAATGAAACAACACATTTCTAAATAATCAACGTGCCAAACAGGAAGTCTCACTAAACTAAATGACAACGAAAATACAATGTATCAAAATTTGTGGGATCCAGTTACAGCAGTGGTGAGAATGAAATGTACAGCACTAAATACACCTATTATAAAGTAGGACAAGCCTCAAATCGATACTATAAGCTTCTTCCAGAAACCAGAAAAAGAACAGCAAAACGAATCCAAAGCAAGTGGAAGGAAAAATAATAAACAGGAGAAATCAATGAAATTGAAAACAGAAAAACTGAGAGTGAATGTCAATGAAGCAAAAAGCTAGTTCTTTGAAAAGATCAATAACATTGATAAACCTCCAGCAAGACTGACAAAGACAAAAATAAGGAAGGTTGGTATGGAGAATGAAACAGGGGCTATCACTATAGCCCCAGACCAGGGCAATAAAGGAACACAGCTCTACACACATAAATATGACAGCTACCAATGTGAAATAATCTGAAGAGTTAATAGCCTTGAACTATTAAGAAAGTAGAATTTGTAAGTTTTTTAAATCTCCAGGCCCACACGATTTCCATGGAGAATTCTGACAAACATTTAAAGAAGAATTAACATTAATTTTATACAATCTCTTCAAGAAAAGGGAAGAGGAGGGCACTTCTCAATTCATTTTACAAGCCAGTATTGCCCTTACATTGAAACCAGAGACAATACGAAAAAGAAACCTTTAGAACAATATCCTTCATGAACATAAAAAGACAAATGTGAGGCTGTAGAATCACTGGAATTCCTTTACATTGACTGGTTGGGAGTGTCAACTGTTGCGACCACTTTGGAAAATGGTTTGGGATAATCTACGTAAGTTGAACAGCACACTGTACGGCCCAGCATTTCTACTTTTGGGCACAGACCCAACAGAAGTGTGTCCATCTGCTCACCCAAAGACCTGTACAAGAATGTTAATTACAGCACAATGCTAATAACCCCGAACAGCCTGGTGCCACAAGCAGAATAGGCAAGTCAATTGCGGTACAGACACAGAATAAAATATGATCCAGTAATAAAATGAACGAACGTCAATGACATGCAATATAGATGAGTCTCACAAAGATAATGTAGACTGAAAGAAGCCAGAAATAAGAGTGTACCTGCTGAATGATGCCACTGATATAAAGTCCCCAAACAAGCAAAGTTACAGTATTAGAAAACAGGAGGGGTTATCCTCCTGGAGGGTGGTGACTGGCAGGGGACATAGGAGACCTGAGAGGCCGGTCATGTCTGTATCTTGATCTGGGGGCTGGTTACATGGGTACTTTAGTTGTGGTGTGTGGTTTATGAATATTCATGAAGTTGCATTCTTGGGTTATGTGTGCTTTTCTCTATGTATGCCTTATTCAATTATAAGTTGACTAAAAGAGAAAAAAAAAGCCTGTTGGATCTGGTGACATGAAGATAACAGATGAGCACAAGTTCTGAGGGAGTGGCCCGGCTTTGGGGACCTCACATCAATTCCTGTTTTACAAATGGCGGCCCTGGAGCAGAGAGCAGTTTAGGGACTGGCCCAAAGTTGCAAAGCTACTGAGTCGCAGACAAATAGTTGAGCCCAGGGAGCAGGGCTGCTGAGCCTGTGCTTACCCACGAAACTACCATGTCTTTATCTCTGAGAGCACAAAGGCAATGACGATGAAGGAAATATTGGGCAGGAGAGTATGAGGCTACTTTAGGAAGGGCAGGCAGACATAGCAACTGACACTGTCATAGATATCGCTTTATCACAGTGGCTGTACAGGCCAGTGACCAATATTCCCAAGGACAACAAGGTATTATGTTAGAAAAGGTGAAGCATTTTAATATACTATGTTTCCTAAGACAGGGAAACGTGCAATATATTTTTGAAAGGTTTTGGGTTTAAAAATATAGTCAGGGACAAGCTCTAATTATATTTAAGAAAATCATTTGTGTTAATTGTTTAATTATCTCCCAGTGCCAGAAAAATGCAGTGCGTGTTATGTGTGTTGCATGTGTGCACAGGCTGCATGTACTCTTTTGGGCCACATCTATATTTTGGTCTTGGAGAGAAAACAAAACAAAACTGTATTGTTAGTCTTTTAGAGAAGCATAGGAATTATAGATTTGTGATTAGGCCAGGGGATAATTATAGGCCAGAGCTGGGTAACTTAATATAATTAGTGGTAGAGCAATTACTGAAACTACCACAGAAAACCACTGTGTGGAGCCCTAATTTAAAAAGGAGAATACTGGATAAAAGTTGTTCGTTCTGTCAGCTGCTTTTATTGCAGGAGGTGGGAAGGGGCACACACACAGGGACCAAATGCAAGAATAAAGGATCTGACCTGTATATTCACAACACAACGTTATCAACGGCTGCAGACTGGAAAGACATCGCTAATAAGGGCAGATGAGTCAACTAAAAGTTCTTGCTTCCTTTGAGAGCATGTCTAGTGCATTCTCGACAAGTAGTTTTTTAAAATTGAGTTTGCAGCGGGAATGTTTCCTGGAAATAACTCAGGAGAGTCTGTCCAATTAAGAAAGGCTTGCTGAATGAAACAGTATGCAAATCCCTTTTCTAACATAAAGTGTACACAAGCTACATGTTCGCAGTGGCTTCACCTACAACGCGCCAATTTGGACCTCTCCTTGGGGAAACACACACAGAGATGAAATCACTTGCTTATCGTCACATAGAGGAGGAACCAAAGTGAGGCGTGAAGTTGTTTTCTCATTCTAGCAACACAGCTGTGTTATAGATAGTGGGGTGCTCTGGTGCATGCACCTAGAGTGAGTGAATCCATCTCTAGAAACCCAAGGCCTGAACCAGACTTCTTGCTCAGTAACCTTCCTTCCCTTGGGGTTTTCTCCATGTGCCAATCCAGTTTTCAGATTCACCGAGTTCTAGCTCATGGCCAGTCCCTTCTTTGGTGCCCCATCTTTTCCCACAAGGTGAGCAGAGACTTCTGTGAGCTCACAGACACTTGCTCAGACACTCTTTCTGGAAATTTTCTTTGACTTATTTCACCTCTGCATGCTCTCGCTGCATTATTTGCATTTGCAGTAGAAATAGTTGCAAGCATTCCACGATGCCTTTATATAAAACTCACTCTTCCAAGATCAACTGAATAGCACAAGTATCTTGTACCGCATCTAAAAATGACTCATAAAAAACAAAACAAAAAACTTCTCTGAATCGTCTTCATACCTACCACATTTATCCAAGCCTGACAAAATTCAATGCAGGTAATGAGAAAAAGGAGACAGAAGTGCCAGAAAATCTGTCTTTAGTGTTTTCAAACTGGCTTTAAAATACAAACATTTCCTGAAGTGCAGAGGTGAAAGTGATGAATGCTAAGTGGATATTTTTTCACCTTAACTGACGGATCAGAAGAATATTTATAAACCCCGACTCATGTCTTGAGCTGATAAATCAACACAGAAGGAGGACATTTCAGGCTCATTTATCATTTAAGACAAACAGGCCATTCTGAGCACGATTATTTTTTATTCATCATTTTAGCTCACCTTTACGTGTGCTTCATCTCAAAGTTAATAATATCTGTATAAGACTTCTAAGACTTCTCAATATTTAATGCTTACAGCTTGTCTGGTGCATGCCAATGAGCCTAAGATTACAGGCTTTATTTCCAGAAGGCCAGTTAGAGTTCCCCCCAAAAAGGGCTCTGTTTCACATTGAAGCCTGTCCCCAGTCAGCTTCCTTATAAATAGCTGTTGTTGGTTTCAAGGCCATAAAAAGCATAGAATTACAAAGCACAGAATTACAGTTTTAAGGGAAATCAAGGCCAAAGTATTTTAACTGGCTGGCCCAATGGCATAGAATCTCATAATTAGCAGAGGGCACCCAGCACCCTAGTGCACGAAAAGTCGGTATTTGTATGACTCAGTTAATACCCAGGACAGTCTACCAGGTCAATGTTATCAAGTCACATTCAAACAACATAACGGAAAAGATAATCTTACCTGTTCATTGTCCTCTTCATCACTACTTAGCTTAAGGTCATCTTCTAGCATTCTGAAAGAATAAACAAAGAGGTACAGGAACTTAGCTAAGTGCAAAATAATTTAGCACCAAAATATCTTTATTAGAGCAATGTTTGAGCAATAAGTCTATTTGATTTCCTAATTAAAAATTTGTTTCTTTTAGACAGGGTTGCTGCCTGTCACCACTGTTATTCAGCATAGTATTGGAAGTCTTAGCCAGAGCAATCAAACAAGAGAAAGAAATAAAAGGCATCCAAATTGGAAATGAAGTTAAATTGTCATTTTTTGCAGATGACATGATTCTTTATATAGAAAACCCGAAAGACTCCACCAAAAACACTATCATAAACAATAAATGAATACAGTCAAGTTGCTGGCTACAAAATCAATGTACAAAAGTCCACTGTATTCATCTACACTAACAATGAAATTTCAGAAAAAGAAACGAAAAAAAAAACAACTCCTTTTGCAATTGCAACGAAAAGAATAAAATACCTAGGAATAAACTTAACGAAGGATGTGAAGGACCTATACATTGAAAACTATAAGACATTTT